GGAAGCTGCAACTGGTACAGGAAACTGCGAACCTTCGTCCTACAGCCTGGTGGCCCCGCAAGGGGGCCGGCGGATTTTCTACCTCTGGGGGCCCTAACCGGCCCTCGGGACCGTCAAAACATGATGCAGGATGAAAAACCGGTTCATAGGAATGGGTCGAGACGTCCAAGGGTCGACGTCATGACAAAACCCAGACATGATTGCGTCGTAACGAAATCAGGACGGGAGGTTTTTGGCCGTTTTCGGCCTCGGGGGGCCCTCGCCGGGCCTCGGGACCATCATAAAACGATTCAGGACGAAGAACCGGTCGGTCATGGGGAAAGGGTCGGGATTTCCAAGGATGCCGTCTTGACAAAATCAGGACGTCGCATGTCTGGGAACGGGGGTCAGTCAGGGCGCGGGATCTTGCAGGACAGTGCAGGGCCAGGGGCGCATTGGCCCGGGCTTGGGCGCAGCATCCTGCAGGATTCTGCAGGATCCTGCATGGCCTGACTGACCGGGGTTTGCGTTCACCCGGGTCAGTGCGTCCCCGAAGGTGTTGCCGATCCTGCGGGCGTTGCACCCCGCGGAGCTGCAGCAGGCGCTCGAGGACCCTCCCGGCCTCTTTGGGGGGCCACGTCGAGTCGATTCGGTCATGATGTGTTCCGATGTCTTGCGGAGGCACGGCACCGAGACCGCTACCCTTCCGTCGTTTTCTCTATTTTGGGGCCTCCTGGGGCGCCCTCGTCGTCGAGGCTGGAGTCGTCTCGAGATTCTGGTCAGAACGCACCCCTGGAGAGGTCTGGGGAGCAGCAGTAATTCTTCACGCTTGGCGTATCTCCACCAGCCCATTCAGAAGCCCTGCTTATTGGAGCTGACGGGGAATGGAAAGAAGAGACATATATATATATATATATATATATAGTGAAACAGAGCGGGCAATGAGAGGAGGGGGAGGAGGGCGTTGAGCCATCTTAGAGGCTATCTTGGGAGCGTCTGGACATCTTGGGAACATGTTGGAGGGCATCGATCAAATGAGGAGGGGTCCTCGATGTCGCCTCCCCCCACCCCTGGGAGCCCTCAATATCACCTCTTGGAACCATCGTCGAGCTCTTTTGTGGAGTCTCGGGGCCGTTTTGAGGCCCTCCTGGGGACCTCTTGGAGCCACCTTGGGGCTCTCTTGGGACTCTCTCGGGAACCCTGGAGCGCCTCTTGGGGCCATCTTCGAGGCTAAGTATCGATCAAATGAGGAGGAGTCCCGATCTAAGCCCCCCTACCTGGGGCCCTCAACACCGCTCTTGATGCGCTCTTGAGCCCCTCTTGGGGCGGTCTTGGGCGCTCTTGGGTCCGTCTTGGCTGCCTCTTGGGCCTCTCTTGGCGCTCTCTGGGGACGTCGTGGGGCCACCTTGACGTCTCAAAAGCGCATCGGACCCGAAACGGTGAGAATACAAAGAACACATGTCTTGGTTGTTCGATGATTCTGTCGTCTCGGCATCGTAAGAGGAAAAGGATGCTTCTGGAAAAGGACAGAAAGACATCGTGAGACCACCTACGCCCAGAAGGCTGGTGGGACTATCGGTATCTGTAGGTTTCCCCAGGCAAGGGGCCATCTTTGGCGGGTCCCAGGGCCCCGCGAGCTCCCTTGTGAGACTGAACATAACCAACAGCGTGAGGAGGAGGAGGAGGAGGTGGAGGAGGAGGAGGAGGAGGAGGAGGATGTCAGGAGTCCAAGGTGCAGGGATAATCGGTTCCTCTCAGCTGGTGCCTGGCAGAGCCTTCGGCCGGGGGGGCTGATGCCGTCTCGTCCGGCGGGCTGAGGCGTGGGGCATGTCTGCCTCGACGAATTTTGCCCACCTCCTCCTCTTCGTCCTCCTCCTCCTCCTCCTGCTCCTCCTCCTCCTCCTCCTCCGCCTCCACCTCCTCCTCCTCCCCCTCCACCTCCTCCTCCTGTGCACCTTGGAATGGATCGCGTCTTCGGTCTTCGGACTCCCTGGGCTCGAGAAGGAGGACCAGCGTAAACCCAGGAGGTGGTGGGGGGAAGGAAGGGAGGGAGGAAAGGAGGGATGGGATGCTGATGCTTCTCCCGCTCCGCAAGGAGCCGGAGCAGCTCGTCGACGGCCTCGGCGGCCGGCCAGAGCCCCTCTGCAGCCAGTGGGGCATCCTGCTGGCCCGCGCGGGGCTGGAGCCCCTGCTCCAGGGGGCGCAGGTCCCTCCCGCTCCTCCTCCTCCTCCTCCTCCTCCTCCTCCTCATGCTCCTCCTGCTGCTCCTGCTGCTGCTGCTGCTGCTGCTGCTGCTGCTGCTGCTGCCTCCTCGAGGATAGAGGTGCGTAGCCATTTTGGCTCAAGCCACGGGGGCCTCAAGCATCGAAAGCCCGCCCGCGTCGACGCTTCATGGCCACCCACAGCCGCTGGGGGCCTGCGGCTTGAGGGGCGAAGTTCCGCCAAGCTCGGGTAGAACAAACATCCAGCACGGTTGCGGTATGGGTTCTGCCCGATGTTTGATTAATGGGACCGGGAGGAG